TATATGCGACTTTCAAAGTGTATACTTCCATAAACATGCACTTAGGCTCTCATGGTTTTCAAGGTTCTCATTGTAATAGGGTTACAATTTAGACCGTGCTTGATCCTAATATTTCGGGTTGTCACATAACAGACAACGATTCTACATAAGATCTTCTTGTTGTTACATTGCTCTCAACTTTGATCAGCAATGATGAAGTTGCATCAACAACTCACTCATTTTTGAAGGCGAATAGTGGAGTTGATGTGTGACAAAAGATTCTTAAAATATGGGATAGGTAACCCACTCATTTCATTTTTTTTTCAAAATAGGTTAAATGGAGAAATTAAAAAAACAAACCATGTATAGTGTATACTATATTGTTTAAATGAAAGTAGGTTGAAGCCCTCGACACAAGTAGTTTTGGTTGTGGCTTCTGAGATGAAAAAGCTGCAGAAACATAAAGACCATTTAAGGATTAATCTCACGAAAGCTGAAGAGGAGGTATTCTCATTTCACCTTTTTGTTACGAGTTATACAACCATGTTTCAACATGTTATGAAAATGTTGAAATATTAAACAATTATGATATGAGTAGGTTATAGTCTTGTGTGATGAAAACGACATCTTAGACAAAGAAAACTGGAGGTTGACAAATCTAATCCAAAAAGAACACCATATTCTTGATTCTGGTGGGAAGCATAGCAGCGAATCCATCAAGGTAACACACTGCAACCCACCCAGTTTAGTTTGTTACACAAGATATGACACGACAGAACAAAACATAACAGGTTATCTAGTGTTTGACATGCATTGGACTGAGACTGGAACTGATTTTAACAAGACTCGCTCTCGATCTCAAGTCTATGCAAAAGACGTAAATGCCCTCTCTCATAATCATGATCACTGAAATGATTAATTATGCTTTTGATGTAATTTTTGTTTTAGGGGCAAAATCTTAAACGAAAATCAAGTCCGTGTCCTAAAGAGGGAAGTCCCATTGAGAAGAAAATGGACTTCTATGATGCTGCTGGGTCACCAAGGAAACCACTGTCTCCATTGTTGCATAACAAGTAACATTTACAAACTATTATCAACTCTTGCACGGATTATTTTTAGAGACGTTTTTTTGTTAAAATCCTAGATCATTAATATGATCTGGGATTGTAGAAATGACGTTTTTACAAAGATTTGTTTGAAAACGTTGTAGAATTTTGATCCTTAGATCTTGGGTTTGTCACAAATCTAATTTTGTAATAAATCCAATTTTGTAAGAGTCTTTCTAGAATCTTTGAAAACTTTGTAGAATTTTGATCCTTAGATCTTATGTATGTATCAAGATCATTTTCAGAAAAAGTTGAAGCATTCACGATCCAAATATGATGATTTGAAGAAATGAGTTAGGTCGTATCGATGGTAATTGTAATATGATTTTTTCTTTCAACCAAAACAAATGAAGCTTTTCTATTCTTTCTTTATATTCAGTTTCTCATTTAATCTTTATATGTGATTTGTGTGTATTACTCAATCTTGAATGTGACTCTCCAAACATCAATGTTTTGCTTGGAATATCTTTATGATTCTTCTTTTTCAAGAAAAATATTTTGATTGCAGGTTAGTGAAGATTTGTCATCAAGTTTCTATGGTTGAATGGTGTTAAATGATGAAAC